AAAAAACCCAGCTTGTTCTTTTGTTGTTTGGGGTGGGGAGGTGGGGAAAAAAAAGAAAAGAAATAAAATTGATCTTTTCCTCCGCTGCTGCCACCGTGCAGCTTTTCCTTGACCCAGTTTTGGAGAGAGCCACCCCTTCCTCCCCATAACTCCACCCTGTCCTCAGTTCGGTTTGAGCCATGGGAAGATTGACAGCTGAAGAGTGACAGGTCCCGGATGCTTTATTCCGAGCTAGGAAGACATGGAAAGATTTCCTTTCCATGGTAACTAAAGAGCCAGAACGGGGATCGACTTCTGACAGCAGAAGGTAACTAAGCTTATCGCAGCAGAAGGATTAACTCTTCGGAGGACCAAGAGACGCAGCGACAGGAAGACACTCAGCACACCTGGCACACCTGGCGTGACCCATTCCTCACCTGCGAGGCCGGAACAATCTCCTTTAGAAGCCTTTTCATCCCGGAGACGGCTAAGAAAGAACATCGTTAATTTTGTTTCTGCTTGGAAACCTCTCTTGGGCTTTGTGCTTGTGGTGGTGGGGGGGGGGGAAGGAAGAAACTTTAGATGTTGGGCCTTGCTGATTTGATAGGCTTGTGGTTAGAGAAAACGGCTGGTATACATTACAAGCATTCCTCGACTTTACGACCGCACGGGAGCCCGGAATTTCTATGGCTACACGAGGCAGTTGTTCAGGGAGCGTTGCCCCGTTTTTACGACTTTTTCTTGCCACAGTCGTTGAGTTGTTAAGTTAGTAACACGGTGGTTAAGTGAGCTTGGCCTCTGCGTTAGCTTTGCTGGTCAGAAGGTCACGAAATGGGATCCCTGGACACTGCAACCGTCATAAATACGAGTCAATTGTCAAGCGTCTGAATTTTGATCATGTGACCCAGGGGGATGCTGTGAATGGTTGTAAATCTGAAAAGTGGTAATAAATCTCCTATTAAATTCCATTCCATTCTATTTTCTATTCTATTCTATTCTATTCTATTCTATTTTCTATTCTATTTTCTATTCTATTCTATTCTCTATTCCATTCTATTCTATTCTATTCTATTCTATATTTTCTGTTCTATTCTATTTTCTATTCTATTCTGTTCTATTCTATTTTCTATTCTATTCTATTCTATTCTATTTTCTATTCTATTTTCTATTCTATTCTATTCTATTTTCTATTCTATTCTATTCTATTCTATTTTCTATTCTTTTCTATTCTATTTTATTCCCCATTCCATATTCTATTCTATTCTATTCTATTCTATTCTATTCTATATTTTCTATTCTATTCTATTTTCTATTCATTTCTGTTCTATTCTATTTTCTATTCTATTCTATTCTATTCTATTCTATTTTCTATTCTATTTTCTGTTCTATTCTATTCTATTCTATATTTTCTATTCTATTCTATTTTCTATTCATTTCTGTTCTATTCTATTTTCTATTCTATTCTATTCTATTCTATTCTATTCCATTCCATTCCATTCCATTCTTTTTCAGTGCCGTTGTAACTTTGAACGGCCACTAAACGAACTGTTGTAAGTCGAGGACTTACCTGTATTATCTAAAAGTAAATAATCCAGGTTTTATGCCGTTACCTTACTCTACTGCACCCAAAGGAGTCGGACGTCAACATTTTTACTTCCTTTTCCCCTTCTGCCTTACACTTCCCCCCCCCCACGCTTCCCTTTCCCCTCCCTTATTTTCCTCTTATTTTCTTTTGCATTTTAAACTATACTTCGATAAATGGATCAAATGTTGGAAAAGGGAAGCCTTTTCTATGCAGGCCGCGGATCTGCACGTTTCGGGAAGGCCAGTCAGTCCCAATGTAGCGACGGGGCCAGCAACTGGCAAAGGAGCCAAACACCCCAGCGAGCACCAAGCCAGAAACGGTCTCGAACCGGTTGGCATCTGAACTTGGCTTTTATCTGCTTTCTCTTGACCGCCGCTCGGGATGGGGGGTCTGCAGGGGAGATTGGGGGACCCCCAGCTCTTGCTGCGGAAGCGCCCCCCTCTCTGCCCGGTTTGGGACCCTCCCCTGCCGTGCCCGGGTGGGGTGGGGGGCTTCTGAAATTTAATCTAGCCGTTTGGACCGAGCCTGATCCTGCGCCCACTTGGCGGAATTCCTTGGCAGGCTGGCCCCATCATGTGAAGTGTTTTGGAAGCGTCCATGTGTGGCTGTTTGCAAAGGGCTGCATCTGAATAGCAACACGGGGGCAGACAAGGGGCTGCTTGTTCCTTGGGGAGGGGGTGGCAGCAGCGGTGGCAGCAGCAGAAGCTCCAGCCTTGGGAACCGAGCCAAGAGATGTTTTCGAGTCCTTCAGAGGATGGACGGCTGTGGGGACAGAGGAGGGAGGAACTGGGGGGGGCATGAACTGCATTTCCTGGATTAACTGGGCGGTGCAGAATGTGCTGAGTGGAAGGCACCCCCAGCATTTTTGAACGGGGGGGGGGACAATGAAATGCTTTGGCTTGGATATGTAAGGGGTCAACTATGAAAGGAAGCTTTTCCTGTTTTGCTCTAGTGCTGCTATGAGTCGTGGTTCTTTTGCTTCCCTTCGCTGGTCACTGGTCAAATAGCTGCGGGAAGCAGAAGAAAGGGCGCGTGGCTAGCATCCAAAGTTGACCTAAGCTTCTAGTCCTCCAGGAAGCTAAAGAGGCGGAGAGGCTGGCACTCCCCCCCGCGTGCGAAAAAAATTGAGTGGATTTCAGGGATTCTCTTGGTTAGGGGGAAAGAGGGCGTGGCTAGCATCCTAAATTGACCTAAGCTTCTAGTCCTCGAGGAAGCTAAAGAGGCGGAGAGGCTGGCACTCCCCCCGCGTGCGAAAAAATTGAGTGGATTTCAGGGATTCTCTTGGTTAGGGGGAAAGAGGGTGTGGCTAGCATCCTAAATTGACCTAAGCTTCTAGTCCTCCAGGAAGCTAAAGAGGCGGAGAGGCTGGCACTCCCCCTGCGTGCGAAAAAATCGAGTGGGTTTCAGGGATTCTTTTGGCTGGGCCAAGAGGGACCAAACAAGCGTCAAGAAGTCCCATCCATTGGCTAATCTCTGTCTCCTTTTACAGGAAGCCAGCCGGTGACCGCCGATGAAGTCGTGGTGGCGGGTTCAAAGGTGATCCTCTCCTGCAAGGTGGAGGATCCGGAAGATTCTTCGCTCCAGTGGTCCAATCCTGCTCAGCAGACGCTCTACTTTGGAGAAAAACGAGGTAAGGCCAATCGGGGGGGGGGGGCATCCCAGCCCAGAGGCGGGAGGCCAACAGCTGTGGCGACCGCCGGTGACAGTCCCCAAATTTATTTACCGTGATTTATCCGTCCCCATCCTTAAATCCCAACGACGGGGAAACGCTGTAGACTGTCAGAGCCGCCAATAACAAATGCAATTAGCTGCCAGCCGAATCCCTCCGGCTCAATTTGGAAGCAGGTTTTTGCAAAACGAGCTTCTGTTGCCGCGCTTTATATTTTTGGGCATTTTCACCTCTCACTTTTCGGTGTCCAAATCTGCCTTCGAAGCCCCCTCTTGACGTCACGGAGGGAAAGGCAAAATCCAGAGGCCTCTCCGAAAAATCTCAACTCTGTCAAATAAGAGGAAATTGGGAGCGTTGGCTTCAATGGGGATTTCTCCTGCCTGGGTAAAAGAGATAAGGGTCTATCTACAAACAAACCTTAAAGATGTCGTTTTTCCCGCTCACCTGCGGTGATTCGAAATTGCCTCCAAGCGGCCAGCAAAACATTTTTTCTTTTTTTTTTCCCCTCAAGGAGAATACGGCTGATTTATTTTCTCCACCTTGAAGCTAGGAATATGCTACCAACACAATACATTTTTATTGTTGATGTAATCTATATATTTTTCAGTATCCTCCTCCTTCTCGCTAGCAGGGGTGACTAACAAGTTCGAAAGACCATACTTGAAACCGGCGTTAAAAAGCAAAACGAACCGTTGGCTTAAAAGAGCCCAAATCGGCTTGTGGAGATTTTTGTTTGTTTGGGGTTTTTTGGGGTGGTTTGGTCTAAACTGAAAACAAGATATTTTGGGTCACAAACACACAAACACATCTAATTGGGTTTTGTACGAAAGGCAGATTGTCCTTTTTTAAGCACCTTAAATGACAGCCACAGATGGTCTTTGACTTGCAACCATTTGTTTAATGGCCATTCAAAATTACAGTGGTCCTAAAAATGTTATTTATGACTGGTCCTCATAACAACCATTGCAGCATCTCCATGGTCATGTGACCAGGAATTTGGACACTTGGCAACTGAGTCCCTTCCAACTCTATTCTATTCTATTCTATTCTATTCTATTCTATTCTATTCTATTCTATTCTATTCATTCCATTCTATTCTATTCTTATTCTATTCTATTCTATTCTATTCTATTCTATTCTATTCTTCTATTATTATTCTATTCTTTTCTACATTCTATTCTATTTTATTCTCTATTCTATTCTACATTCTATTCTATTCTATTCTATTCTTCTATTCTTCTATTCTATTCTACATTCTGTTCTATTTTATTCTCTATTCTATTCTACATTCTATTCTATTCTATTCTGTTCTTATTCTATTCTGTTCTTATTCTATTCTATTTTATTCTATTCTATTCTTCTATTATTATTCTATTCTATTCTACATTCTATTCTATTTTATTCTCTATTCTATTCTACATTCTATTCTACTCTACTCTACTCTACTCTACTCCATTCCATTCTCACCCATTCTCTATTGTATTTTATTGTATTGTATTGTATTGCAAGATTCTATTCTATTCATTCTATTCTATTCTATTCTATTCTTATTCTATTCTTATTCTATTCTTATTCTATTCTATTCTATTCTATTCCTATTCTATTCTATTCTATCCCATCCCATCCCATCCCTTCTAGCACTGATGATGGTACCTAATTGGGTCATTTAACGTCTCCAAGAAAACCACCCAGCTCAGCGAAGCATCAAAGACACCTCATGGCAACTCTGAGCTACCAATAGTCTCCTTTATTGTTTTCACTGTCTAATATTGTCTGGATTCTCTACACATTCGCCTGATTCTTTTCCAAAAACCAGCCCAAATACCCCTCCATCATATTCTGTTCGGTTCCATTCTGTTCTATTATTTTTTTATTATGCATTACAGACCTGAAGCCCTGACTATGTCTACGCCCAAAGTTAAAACAGATTAAACTTTTTTTCTTCTTCTTGCTATCCTCAAACGAAGCCAAGCTCTGTGAGAAGTCCCAAACTGATCATTTTGCTCCAGGCTTGGAGTTGAGAGAAACACTCGCTGCTGTTAATTTGTTGAACTGCAGAGATGTTATCTGAATGTGATCAATGATTTATTGATTAATGCTCCAGCCCCATAAATCTAAGCGGAAAGCCGATTGATTTCCATACTGTAAATTCCAAGGATGTCATGTCATGTCACTCTGTTTTTAATAGTGTTTACAACAGTTGTGGATAGCTCGTTTTTTTCTTTGTTTTGAGTTGGGGAGACGTTTGGTGGTGTGTTTTTTTTTCCCTTTAAATTTGGTCTTTTTGTTTCCTTCTGTTTGCAGCCAGGGATGGTTGTAGCGATTCACTGAAGCCTTTGGCTTGCTAGTCCCAACTTTTGTTTATTTATCTGAAGGTGTGAAGATGAATGTTAGCAGGAAGGCCAGTTTGCAACAGTCTGTCTCCTAAGGAAGTGTCATACAGAAAGAGTCTGTAGTATTTTGATCTGGAATCCACACAAAGACAGGTGGCTCTGAACAATTTGCAATCTCTTTCTGATTCGTTTGCCACAAATTTTCCCTAATCACAGACTTCACGCGTTCAACTGGAGCGTGCAATTCCCTCCAGCATGTATTTTTTTTTTACTGCCACAAATTCAGCATTCTTTGTGGTTCCCTGTAATTAACGGGTGTGACATTCTCTAGAGCGGTGTGTTTCTCTCTAGCGTCTCCAGCTTAGCAACTTTAACTTCCCAACCAACCATGGGAATTCTGGGAATCCAATGTGCTACCACTGAAGTGGCCACTAGATGGCAGCAAGGAGATAGTTTCCCTGTCTCTTTGCTGTCCTCTAGTGGTAATCCCAAGCTTTGCCACTCCGATGTGGTGGCTTGGGAGAACTCTGGGAGCTGAAGTCTACTCATCTTAAAGTTGAGAGTTGAGAAACTCAAAAGCTTGAGAAACTCTGCTTTAATGTTTAAAAAGAGATTATTATTTTTTTGTACTTTGGAGCTTTTCCTGATTTTATATTTTAGATGAGGTTTAGAATCTCGACATATACCAAATTTCCAGGATTGGGGGGGGGGGGGAAATCTAAACTTTTTCAAGCTCTTGAAAGCAGTAAACAAATGTCCTTGTTTTGTTCCAAAACAACAAAAAAACATTTGTGCACTGTTTCAGCTTCGTTATATGACACCCAGAGATTTTTTTTTCAGTGAGATGGGTTATATAATTTAGAGATAGATATAGATAGATAGATAGATAGATAGATAGATAGATAGATAGATAGATAGATAGATAGATAGATAGATAGATAGATAGATAGATAGATAGATAGATATGGATGGATGGATGGATGGATGGATGAGATGATATGATATGATATGATATGATAGACAGACAGAAAGATAGATAGATAGATAGATGATATCAGATAGATAGATAGATAGATAGATAGATAGATAGATAGATAGATAGATAGATAGATATAGAGAGATAGACAGACAGACAGACGATAGATAGACAGACAGACAGACAGACAGAAAGATAGATAGATAGATAGATAGATAGATAGATAGATAGATAGATAGATGATATCAGATAGATAGATAGATAGATAGATAGATAGATAGATAGATAGATAGATAGATAGATATGGATGAGATGATATGATATGATAGATAGACAGAAAGATAGATAGATAGATAGATGATATCAGATAGATAGATAGATAGATAGATAGATAGATAGATAGATAGATAGATAGATAGATAGACAGATGATAGATAGATAGATAGATAGATAGATAGATAGATAGATAGATAGATAGATAGATAGATAGATAGATAGATGACAGGCAGGCAGGCAGGCAGGCCTAAGATGACCCCCTTTGCCCCTTCTCTAACTCCCCCTTCTTCCTCCCTCTAGCATTGCGAGACCTTCGGATCCAGCTGGAGAATTCGACGGCCAACGAGCTGAGCATCAGCATTGACAACACCACGCTGGCCGACGAGGGAGAATACACCTGCACGATATTCACCCGGCCCGTCCGGACTGCGAAAGCGATGGTCACCGTGTTGGGTGAGGCGAAGGGGTCAGTGGCCAGCCCTGTCCGAAACGGGAGGGTCTGTTCCTTGAACATTTCAGCCTTTCCAAGTTCTCGGGGCGGGCTCCAGCTGGAAAAAAAATCCCAGCCCTCTCCTGTCTGGGAAATACAGGTAGTTCTCGACTTAACGACCGTGGCTAAGCAAGATGGTTGTTGAGTGGCCTTTGCCTCGTTTTACGACCTTTCTTGCCACCGTTGCTAAGCGAATCATGCCATTGTTAAGTTAGTAACATGGTTGTGAAGTGAAGCTGGCTTCCCCGTTGACTTTGCTAGTCAGAAAGTCGCAAAAGGGGGTCATGTGACCAGGGGACCCTGCAACTGTCCTAAGTACATGCCAGTTGCCAAGCCTCTGAGTTTTGCTCACGTGACTGTGGGGATGCTGCAGCGGTCGTGAGTGTGAAAACTGGTCCCAAGTCCCTTTTTTCAGTGCCGTTGTGACTTCAAACAGTCACTAAACGAATAGTTGTAAGTCAAGGACTACTTGTGTGCTCCTGAATACAGGGACATGAGTTGCAGGTTCCCAGAGGAAAACAAGAATGCTTTTGGGGGGGGGGACTGAAATGTTCCAGGAATGGAAGCCCTGTTTTGTACATCCCAAACACGAGATTATTTGTCTGAAATGTCATAGGGTTCCCTGCCTGAGCAGGGGGTTGGACTAGAAGACCTCCAAGGTTCCTCCCAACTCTGTTATTCTATTCTGTTCTATTCTATTCTATTCTATTCTCCATTCTATTCATATTCTATTCATATTCTATTCTATTCTATATTCTATTTTCTATTCATATTCATGTTCTGTTCTATTGTCTATTCTATTTTCCATTCTGTTCATATTCTATTCTATTCTATTTTCTATTCTATTCTATTCTATTCTATTCTATTATATTATATTCTATTCTGTATTTCTATTCTATTCTATTCTTATGAAAAATTTAATAAGGAGGCAGGGGAGATGTGTCATCCCATCCCAAAGCTACAATTTCACTCCAAGCTCAAAGGGATTATCCTTTCTGGGAACAAACACTTCAAAGCGCGCCTTCTCCGGGATACTCTAAGTCGCTAGTCCTCATTGTCCTCTTCTCTTTCAGGAATCCCACAGAAACCCCAAATCTCGGGTTACTCAGGTCCTCTTAGGGAAGGAGACGTAGCTCTGTTGACGTGTGCCTCCTCTGGCAGCAAGCCAGCTGCTCAGCTTAGATGGAATAAAGGGGACAGAGTCTTGACAGGTAAGCCACAAACATGCTATTCAAAAACCTAAGAAGGATGTCAGTTTGTTTCCTAGGTGTAGTCAAGGTTTTAATGAAGCCTTCGTAAAATTGAGAGCCCTACCTTTACCGTTCTGTATTGACTGGTAGACTGCAGTTGAACATGGAAGCACAGGTGCTACTTTTCCTCTCTAGATTTAGCTCCTATTAAACCAGTGACCCTTAACATACAGTAACCTGTGGCCAGGTTAATGATCTGCAAGTTAATTATCTCTAAGTAGTGTCAAATTACATGCCACTATATAAAATACGTGATTTTGTGATTTTTCTCTCTCTTTCTCCCAAACAGGCCAGTCATTGGAAGTCTCCAAAGATGCAAACGGGAAAACTTTTACAGTCAGCAGTCAAGTCGAAATTATGGTTGGCAAAGAGGACGATGGAGCAGACGTGACGTGCACGGTGGACCACTCCTCTCTGCAGATCTTTGAGAAATCCGCCTCGCAGCGTCTCTCCGTCTTCTGTATGTGACTCGGGAGACGCCCGTGACTTGTTTCAAAAATCCCCAGGGGCACGCAATCAAAATCCGGACACTTGGCAACTGACTCCTATTTATGACGGTTGCAGCATCCCGGGATCACGGGATCCCCTTTTGCCACCTTCTGACGCGCAAAGTCAATGGGGAAGCCGGATTCACTTAACAACCGGGCGACTATCTTATCAACTGCTAACTCTTTTTTTTCTCCTTGGTCGTCTTCTCCGCAGACAAACCATCGGCAAAAATCGAATCCAAACCGGAGCGTCCACAAGAAGGGGACAGTTTAGTGCTTCAGTGCAAAGGAGAAGGGAATCCGATGTAAGTGTCCTGTCCTTTCTTAAAAATGCTGTTTTTCTCCAGCCTCTATCCGACCTGGGTCTCCCCTTAACAGAATAACAGAGCTGGAAGCGACCGCGGAGGTCTTCTAGTCCAATCCCCTTGAGAGTGGGTTAATGGTGGGGCTCTCTCTGTGAAATTTTTGCGGTAAGAAAATAAATCAATCCTGCTACCCAAATCTTCCCGAAGGCTTAAAAAAGTCAGGGATGAAACCTTTTCAGCTACAGGCCTCTGCATTTCAACTTGCCTTTAAATGAAGGCAGGGAGGGAGGTGTTATTTTCAAGTGGGTTAAATAGAAAAATGAAACCTCTTCGATTCAGCTGAAGACGGTGAGAGCCTGAAACCTATTCAAGGACACCAGAACAGGTGTGGATTTGAAGCAGATGGTTCCCATAACAAAGTCAACTTGTTTATATGGGCTAAGTAAGATGTTTGGGGGTTTGGCTGGGAAAACTATTGTTTTAAGTCTATGAATTGGAACCTCAGCGTTAGTTTTGCTTCGACGTAACCACGCCGTGCATTCAATAACCAGTTAAGATTTTTGGAAACGGAATGAACCCGGAGTTTTATTTGGATTCTCAAGTTGGAGGTTGACAGTTAAGTTGCTTTTTAAAACAGGTGGGGTCTGTGTGGGAGACAGTTGTGATTTTGAGTTCGCAGCTTCCCACACACACACACCCAGGAGAAGCGAAATTTGGCAGCCCACGTAAAGGAGACTAAAATGAGGAACATTTGCATAATTGTTTTTATTTTGCGTTTTCCTTTTTTGAATTTTCTCTGCTTTGGAAAAAGAAGTGTTGTTGGGAAAAGCACTTCTGGCTTTGGCGCTTTTCAGCCAAGCATAGCATATATAGCTTTTTCAACACATCATTAACCATGAGGACTACAAGCTTATTGGAGATCCTCCGGAAGTCAAATTTGTAACCAATGGTGTCCCTTTTTTTTTATGTATTCCTACAGAATTGTGCTTGTGTTTTGCTGTAAATAGCATAAGTATATCTATTGCCAGTAAGTGCGCTGTTTTATTTTTCAGCTGCCTACATACTGTATTTGTGTGTGTGTGTGTGTGTGTGTGTGTGCTTTCAGTACCCTGCAAAAAATAATAAATGGTTTATGATCGAATAAAAGTCCTACAGCAGCAAAAA